GCTGCTACTGCTGCCGTTGCTGTTAGGGTAGTAATTATGACAAATTAAGCCCCCGATTTCGGGAGCGCTCCACAGGCGGAAAGAGAAAACTAGTACTGTGTCAGTAGCAGCAGCTGCAGCAGCTTATTAGAAAGAGTGCGCTAATAACGATCATTAGGAAAGTGCTGAAAAAAGAAGAGAGAGAGAGAAAAGAAAGAGAAAAAACGAAAAAGCCGTTTTTTAAAATGCAGCAAGAAAAGGGGAAAATCAAGTTTTTTCCTTTCTTTCTCTTTTCTCTCAATGTTCTGCATGGTGCTCGGGCATAGGTGCACCACTCTTTCAGCACCACCACCACCACCACCACCACCACCACCATCTCTCCACACATCTTTCTTTCGCCTTTCTCTCCTTCCGTTTTTCTCTTCGGTAATTGCACTTCTTTTTGACTTCACTTCCTTACTACGATTGCCGACGCTGCTACTGCGGCTGCGGCGTAGTCGGCGACATAGAAAGATATGTTGGCTGTTTGACCGAGAGGAAGAGGGAAAGATGTTGCACTTTGCTTCCACCTTCTTTTTCTTTTCCCTATCCTTGTGGTGGTGGTGATAGAAAAAAAGTTTTTTATATGCAGAGTTCAAGTCAAAGAGCAACAACGGCAACAGCAACAACAACAACGGCGGAAAAGGGGAAATGACGGGGGAGGAAGACAAGCGATGCGGCACAAAACATCGTCTTGAGAAAGGATGCAAAAGAATGGGACAAAAGAGATTGGGCAGACTGGGTAAAGCGGGGAAACTGGAAAAAAAGTTGAAGCTGAGACTGAAGAAGAAAAGATGGTGAAGGCAGATTGTGACAATCATTGAAAGTCCAAATGCTGCTCACAGCAGTGTTCAAATAAACTTTTCCCTACTACTACTTTCATTACAATTACAAACTGTCCCTTTTCAATGAGCACGATGATGAAGACAGCGCAAAAAGTCAGCAAAGCGAAATGTGGTATGGAAAGCAAAAAGAAAGGGCAAATTGCAAATTTTTGGTGTTTGTGTGAGCTTACAGGCAACAGTGTGCCACAAGAAACAGCAACAGCATATCCAAATTAGACAAAGCAAAGTTGAGACAACAGATTTACCTTTGCTGGCAGTCTCAGCATGTTTCAACAGGAGAAGCTCACTAAACTACTTTTATTATTTATTGCGTCACAAGCACTCACTGTCGCTGCCTGTCCGATGTGCTGGTGATCGCTGGTGGTTATTGAGTAGTGAGTGTGTTCCCATAATTAATTGAAACTCCCAGGCGGGATACTGTATTGGCTGGCTAGCGGGCAGGCAAGCGAAACTCACGCAAGATTCCTACTGCCACTTTCCACTCAACTCTTTCTACTCTTACTCTGTCTACCGTTGATTAGGCTGCACTTTTCAGAACACAAAAAACGCAAACCACATAAACAACAGTTCACATCGGTGTAAAAAAGGTGCGACACCAAGGAAAGCACACACACACTCTACTCTTGTCTCATCTGATTGTCTTTCACGCTTTGGTTGTGTGTGTGTGTTAACACTTTTTCTTGTTCTCTCTCTTTCGTCCCTCTCCAAACCACCGTCGACTCTATTAGGCAATGTGAAATGAGAGTACACTGGAAGGCAGTAAAGGGAGCCAGCCAGAAGAGTGTCCTGGTCCTGGTGGAAAGTTCATTTGAGTGATAAGAAAATCTCCGGAGCAATTGTGGCTGCTCTTCTAATTTTTCAATTGCCAATTGAATCGATGTCAGCAGTGTACTACTACGGCGGTATCCACCACTCTACGACGACGTCCCGTTCCCGGTTCACCTTTCGCCTCTATTTTTAACTGCTGCTGCTGAACACGGACAGAGGCAGACACGGACAATTTCTGCGCCGTTGGTGGCAGCGTTGCAGCGGGCTCCACCGGGGCACCAAAAGACAATAGACAAAAACAGACAGTCTGTTTGTGTGTTTCCACCACCGTCGCCGCTGTTGGCTGAGAATTAAAGCCACCCGAGAGGAGAAGTGCCATAAGCTTCAAAAACAACCTAAAGAGAGAAAGTAAAGCTTTTTGTAATTAGACAAACAGATCGACAAGTGCCGCTGCTGCTGCGATGATTCCCAGTGCATGATAATGATTGAACTCCTGCAGTGGTTGACGGCGCAGTCGTGTCTTGGTCTTTGGTCTTCGGTCTCTTTCTTCCTCTTCTTCATCACCGTCATCTTCTCCTCAATGGCTGACAATTGATTGATCATGGCTGCCGTACTCCTACTGCTACTGTTGCCACCGCTGCCGTACACTCTGATTTGCCGTGAACACACCTCATCTCAGCTCACTTCAAACACACCAACTGCGATGAGGATATGTATTTTAGTGGTGCTGCTCTATATTAAGCGTTGACATATTTTAGAAGTGAGGAGAAAGTAATTGGAGCTGCGAAAAACGAGAGAAAGAGTACTTACTGCTGAACGGTACTACTAGCAGGAACTTTTTCTCTTCGACGCAAAACACGAAGCTGTAAACTTGATGACAGTTGTGGCGGTGGTAAGAAGAAGAAGAAGGAATAGGTAATCTGAACTGTAAGTGACAATTAAACAGCAATTTTCTGTCAGCTTTCTTAGGGGGATCAGAATATAGAACACAAAGACAGAAAAGCAGACAGACAGATTGACCTAAAGACAGTGAGAGAGCGAGGGAGATGGAAACAAATGAGCACCACCACCTCAACACACGAATACAACTAATCAAAAAGTCAACAGGTGCTTTTGTGACAACTGAACTGAAAGAGGGAGAGAGAGAGGTCTAAATTGAGTTAGCAGTGAGTATCCGCTTAGCAGTGCCTCCGTCAGTCAGTCAGTCTGTGTGTGTGTATTTATAACAAAGCTACAAAGTTGAAACCGCCACTGACAATAGCAAATTGTTGCTGTCTCTCTCTCTCTCTCTCTCTCTCTTTCTCTCTCTCTCTCTCTCTCTCCCTGCTACCTGATACTGTCATTACAACAGGTGGACAGTGCACATTGTACAGTGCATTGCACAGCAGATTACCAGTGTGGTCACCACTATCTTCTGATGATGATCATGATGGTGATGATGATGAAGGAAAGGGAGAGATTAAATCTGGTGATCAAGGTGGTGCTACAAAATGTGGGTTAAACTTCAATGGAATGGACTGGCAGTGCAAGGTTTAGCTGGCCATTATTACAGCAAGCCGACCAAGCGCCACTTTTATCGCCAACTTTTGTTTTTTTCCGCAACTTTTAGCTTACCCGAGGACGAAAAAGAGGTGATCCGCGACCGAAAGGTTAAAAAACTTGAAATACCAAGAAAGTCACTGGACACTGAGCAGCGAGCACAAATAGTGAAATAGTGCAGTCTTTTTGGTAATCTCAATGCTGGTGGTAGTGCGGTGGCTTATCCTCTGACGCGTGTCTTTGCCAGCTTTCCCCTTCTTCTTTTAGTGTCCATCTTCAGTACCACCAAATGACAGACTTCTGTTAATGGTCGTCCTCTCTTTTATCTTCCCCCCTTTGCTTTCACCTTTTTTGAGCGTCAGTCTTCCCGACTTTCTCTACCACTTGCAATATTGCGCAACTGATTTTAAATTAGCCTCGCGTGTGCCAAAAGTGTGTGAGCACCAGCAACAGCAGCAGGTCACCAGCAGCCAAATTGTCATTGGGCAGTGAGCCAGCAATACACACACATAGGTTTACTGTATTAAATTTTGCTATTGATCTGCCTTTTTATGGGAAAAGAAAAAGATTTTTGTAACAACACTAAAAGGGTAGATAAATAAAAAACTTAGCTTTTCCTAAGCTAAAGAATTATTAGATAGTTAGTTCATTGATAAATGAGTAAAGCTAGATACCAAAAATTAATACTCGAAAAGAACAAAATCTTCGGCGTCTTCTTCCTCAAAATCCCACTGATTTGGAAGCTTGCTGGCAGAAGTAACAAAGTTGATGTTTTTCTTTGAAGCAGATTTCGAAAAACTTTCTTCAGTAGTATCATTGTTTGACGATGAAACGTGATTTGATTTGTCAATTGGAGCAATTGAAGAAGTCGATGTTTCAGAAACTGATTCATTAAATGAAAAAGTGTGATCGTTGGCGCGATATGACGAAGTTTGTGTTGAATACTGTGAAAAATAAATTGTTTTAGTTCAAAATTGTAGTAAAAAACTTTTTCATAATACCTGTGAAGGATATCCACTTGAAACTGGTGGCAAAACAGGACCATAATCTTCAAATGGAGAAGAAAACTCTGGCACATTGATTTTGTCATTAAAATTAAACTCATTTTGCGAAGTGCTTCTGATTGGAGAAATCACTGAAGCTGCTGGTTTAGTAGTAAAGTTTCCTTCAGCAGCATCAAAGTACAGTTTGGGTGTATTTTTCAAGTACGATGGGAAAACTTTTGGCTTCAAAAAGTTTGGGTCAATTCCGGCCCATGGATTCGCCAACAGAGCGGGATCAACCGACTGTTTGAAGGTGTCTCTTGGTTCGAAATTGGCTGATGTAAAGAAGTCTCCTGTTTTGCTGTTCAAGTTTTGCTGATTGATGAAAGGCTCAGTAGAGGACGAGGTTTCCTGGCGGTTGAAGTCATGAACACCAGACATGATTTCCTTTTTCTGTCGCTTTGCTATGTATTCTTCAATTCGGCGGCGTTCTTCTGCCTTCTTGCTCACTCGTTTTCGCTTAAACTGCGCCAGATGACCACCCATCCAGTTCATTGTGACGGCGTACTAAAGGAAACGTTCAGGTGAAAGAATTTCGAAAATAGAGGAGCAGAATCGAAATGACCAGCAAAAACTCAAAACAAACTCTTCGAGCTTTGACAGCAAAAAAACTTGACACCAGACCAGCCATAGAGGACGTAAAAGTCGATCGCCCGGTTCGATTCCGCAGCAGAATTTTAATTTGTGCTGAAAACAAAAATTTAAACGTTGCAATGCTGCATCATTGGCAAAAGAGAATGGCGCCCAGTAGATAATACTACTGGATCAGCGCACCTCAAGACTGGCATTAGACTGGGTTGCGGAAGTTCTTGCCGGCAAACTTGGCGCCGGCGCCGAGCTGCTCCTCAATCCGGAGCAGCTGGTTGTACTTGGCAGTTCGCTCCGAGCGACAGGGGGCACCGGTCTTGATCTGACCGGCGGAGAGGGCGACCACCAGGTCGGCGATGAAGGTGTCCTCCGTTTCGCCCGATCGGTGGGAGACCATGGTGCCCCAGCCGTTGGCCTTGGCCAGCTGGTGGGCCTTGATCGACTCGGTGACGGTGCCAATCTGGTTCACTTTCAGGAGCAGACAGTTGCAGGCCTTCTTCTGCACCGCCGTCTGAATGCGCTTCGGATTGGTCACCGTCAGGTCGTCGCCGACCACCTGAATGGAGACGCTGGCGGTGAAGTTCACCCAGGCCTGCCAGTCGTCCTGCTCGAAGGGGTCCTCGATGCTGACCACGGGGTAGTCGCGGATGAACTCCCAGTAGAGCATGGCCAGGCCCTTCGAGTCGACCAGCTGCTTGCTGGAGGCACTCTTAAAGTCCAGATTATACTTGCCGTCGGCGTAGAACTCAGAGGCGGCCACGTCCATTCCTGAACAGTGACAAATGAAAAGAAAAGTCTTGTTTTGACACTGAACTTTTCAACTCTTTTGCTTACCAATCTCCACCTGGCCAGTGTATCCAGCCATGGCGATGGCCGTCTTCACCAGCTCCAGCGCCTCCTTGTTGTTCTGAATGTTGGGGGCAAAGCCGCCCTCGTCGCCGACGCAGGTCGCATCGAGGCCGTACTTCTTCTTGATGACTGCCTTCAGGTGGTGGTACACCTCGCTGCCAATGCGCATCGCCTGGCTGAAGCTGGAGGCTCCAGTGGGGAGGATCATGAACTCCTGCATGGCCAGCTTGTTGCCGGCGTGCGAGCCACCGTTGATGACGTTGAATGCGGGAACGGGCATGATGAAGGACTTGCTGCCGGCGAGGTCGCCCAGGTGCTGGTACAGGGGGACGCCCTTCTTCGCGGCACCAGCCTTGGCCACGGCCATCGACACGCCCAGCAGGGCGTTGGCGCCCAGGGTGCCCTTGTTCTCGGTGCCGTCCAGCTTGCAGAGCAGGTCGTCCACGGCCGCCTGGTTGGTGACGTCCACATTCTGCAGGGAAAGTTGTTTGCTTCAAAGGGTCAACCAAACCTCTCTCAGTCTCTGCTCTTACCGAGCCGACCAACTTCGGGGCGATGATCTGATTGACGTTGTTGATGGCCTTCAGCACCGACTTGCCGTGGTACTTGGTCTTGTCGTTGTCGCGCAGCTCCAGCGCCTCGTGCACGCCGGTGCTGGCGCCGCTGGGCACCGCCGCGCGGAAGGTGCCGCACTCCGTGGTCAGCTCCACCTCAACAGTCGGGTTGCCACGAGAGTCAAAGATCTGACGAGCGAGAATGTTCGTGATGGGCATCTTTTGCCAGGAAAAGTGTGTTCAGTTTTAAAAAAAGCAAAAATACTAGTAAAGCTAAGCAAGCAAAGCGCAAAGAATGACAGTGCATTTGATTTGTCCTTTTTATAAATGCAGACTTTGAAAAACATTGCTGATTGCTGAAATTCGAATTTAGTTGAACTGATGAGTCAACTGTTTTTCAAAGCCTGATAATTTTCCAATACTATTTCAAATTCAAACGAGCAAACAAATCTGCATTTACAACCGAGGCTACTGACCGTAATTTAGTCTTCCTTTTGCTACTGGCAGCAACAGCAGCAGTGCCTCACTTTGGTGGTAATGATCGCAATGAACTCTTTCTCTCGCTTCGCTAACTGACTGACCGGAACTACAGCATTTTTCGTTCATTTGCAAACGGTGGCAGCGCAACAAATGGCAACGGTAAATAACAACACCATAAATAGTGTTCAAATCTACGGTAATTTGGTAAAATATGGCGAGAAACTCGAAGGCTCGCTGCGATTTGATTAGAGTTTTTGAAATAGCAGTAGCAGAAAAAAGAGGAAGGAGGCCGCCTTCAGAGGAACACACACACACTGAGGCACACTTCTTGTACACACTTCTCACAAAAATACGACTTCTTTGCAAAGTAATAAATTTGACTACTATTAATTTAGAGTAATGGCCCAGTAGCTGCGGTTGCTGCAATACTGTGTTTTGGAGACACACGCCAAATAGTGAGTGCCATACTGAAGAGTACTGAAATGTGTGCACAGAAAAGTGATGGCAATTTATCAATCAGCGAAATGTGTAGCGATTGCCGGTCTTCTCCCTAGCTTTTTAATGTCCAGTCGCTAATGAAACCAAATGAAAATATGCGAGCGTGTGTGCTTGTTCACTTATCTAATTATAATATGCAATAATCTTTTTTAACTAAATCAGGTAAATAAAAAGAGGCAAGTCTAATACCGCTATCCAGAGCTTTCTAACCAAAAAGACATCAGCGTTGATAAGACATTTTTGTTAATCTGAAAAAGAAAAAGAAGAAAAAAAGTACTGCACGATAGTAGACGGTTCAAACTGATAGCATCGGACTATCTCCGCTTATTTAGCGCCATAGATAAAAATTTGATATTTAAATGCGGCGGTGATAAGCGACTACACTAAATCAGGGTAAATCCGCATCAAAAACAAAGCTAATGTGTCATGGGTAGCAGCATGATCATTACGTAATGGACGGCCGGTATTTCTCCTTCTCTCTTATTATCCCATTTTTTCCTTTTTCTCGCCACCCACAGGCAGCACACTGCTGCACACAACTACTGTTCATCATCATCTTCATCATCATCAGCGGCATCATTTCGTCTAATAATAAATCAAGGTACTAATTAGCGCTAATGTAATTTACCTTTCTTTTTTCATTTTTTACCGGCAATTAACTCGTCTGCTGCTGTCGCTGCCTTGTTGGAAAAAAGAATGGTTACTTCTATTTTCTTGCTGTATAAGATGGCAAAAAACTGCGCCTATTTTTGACTGGAAGTTTGTGTTGACTAACTGACTGTTGCTGAACTCCCAAAAAAGTCTGTGAGAGAAAGAGAAAAATAGAAGTTGTTTGGTGTTGTTTGCAATCGTTTTGTGTCGCAATTTTTCGTTTTGTTGTTATTCCCTCCTGCAACTAATGGATGCTAGCAGGACAAATCTGTGTGGGATCTAAGTGAGGAAAAATGAAGGAGTATAAAGAAAACAAGAAAGTTATCAAGAGCTCGAAAGTAATTAATAACACATTGTAAGTGTTTGCGAGATGGTATCAAATGTGTCTGACTGGACACAACAACAAAAACAGCAACAAATATTGTTTACTAAGATAGAAGGGCGATTAAAACTAACATTTTTAGAGCGGAAATGGGTCTCAAAGCAACACAAATAAAAACTAAGAAATTCATGCTCCAGATGTTTTGCACCGGGTGAATTGGCTGCTCTAGTAATTCTGCCTCTATTGTCATCGTAAAACTGCTGAGGCTCAAAATGAACTTAATTGCTGTAAATGTCTCAAAGTTTCAGTGCATTGTATTGTTTGCCAACTGAGATTGGCGGTGTGCTTTTAATTTTTTCAGTTGAAATGAAAACGAATCTGTCAACAAGCTGACTGACACCTTTTATGAACAAAGAGACCTTCCCTCGTAAGTGCGCTCAGGTGTTTTTTGCCTTTGTGTGACAGTGTTAATTTGATTTGCTAATTAGTGCAAGTTGCCAGCTGAGCCAAGGTCAGCACAGGTTGAGTTGACTGCCTGTTGTTCAGAGTCTGTCAAAGTGTCACACAGTTGAAACTGCCACCACCACCAGCACATTCACGACATTCACCACATTAACCACCACTGACAATTTGCTAGTGATAATGTGTGTCAGGTTATCGACACTGAACAGCTGAACAGGAAATTCAGTCAGTCAGCGAGTCTGTGTCTCAGTGCGTGTGTGCTTGACCTGCTGAGTAGCGAAAAAAGAGGTGGGAGGAAGGGAAAAGCGGGAAAATCATCAGAAAAGATCATCAAATGGTCAAATGGCTTAGCAGCAGCAGCAGCAACAGCAACAGCAGCGGCTAGCACAGTAACTAAACAGCAGTAAACAACAACAAGTAGTGATAATAATAATAATGAGATATGCATGGTCACTGCAAATGACTAGTTTGTTGCTGCCGTTGAATGAATGTGCCGTATGAATGAATGAATGATGTAGTGAACTGATATGTCACTGCGGGGGCAAAGGGAGGGCAAGGGGAGACAGTGTCGTTGGGCCACTGTCAAGTAGCAGCAGTTAAGGAGGAAAATTTAAATTCCGGTAAAATTGTGTGCTCGTCGACCGGTTCAGATCAGAGTGACTGGAAAGACTGACTGAAAACGCCCAGATTTGGCATTGGATAGGACAGCAGCTGTCAGTTAGTGAGTCAGTGTACAACAAAACTGAAACTGCATCAGAAAAAAAGTCTGTTAACGGATTCTGATGACTACAGAAAAAGTTTGAAAAGTGATTGTCGTTTCTAAAGATACGATTTGCTAGAGGAAGAAGAAAAATAAAAGAACAACGACGACGACAAATTGTACCCGAGCTGCACGTGAGCGGCTTTTGCATAGCCGCCCAGCGAATTACCATTACACGGACACACACACACACTTTACTAAACTGCCGACCATCTGCGGACAACGGTTTCAAATCTTTCTTTTGCTTTGTACAACGTCCCTTTCCTTCTTTGCCCCCTTTTCTTTTCAATTGCCGACTGCGATTTCATACTCACACAGCACTCTTCTTCTTCCCTCCAGCGTCCTACTACTACTTCTGCTTTTGTAGTTGTAGGCAAGTCTGCTTAATCGGCTCAATTGAAAATTGGCTTCGTCCGTCCGTCCCTTTGGCTTTCTGTTCGGTAATGGCGTCCAGGCTGAGTAAATTGTCGGGCAGTGTTTGTGTCCTTTGGTCGTCGTCATCGTCGTCGTCGTGGTCCAGCACTCGTTCACCTGTTGGCAATTCAGAGTCGAAAGTCTGAAATGAGAGCTCACTGCTTTGAATTAAATTGCGGGAAGATTAGTGGGGAAGGAAGAAGAGGGAAGCAGATTCATTTGCACACAGTGACCCACTGCACTGATCAGCAGTAGCAGTTAAAAAACTGCAAATGCAAATGAGCTCCCCTCTCAAGCCGCTCATTTGACTGGGCAAATGAGCAAAGCCTCTTCTTTTCCTCCTCCTCTTCAAACGAAAGAATCTTCCTCTGCCGACTACAAAACACGGCTGAGCGCACTTGAGTTGCCCTCCAGGCCTGAGGATGCACGCAGAAAAACAAAAGTGTGATTGGCCTCGTTAGACTTCTTGAAAAACAAAATTGCTGAAAAAGCTTTCACTGCTCTGTAGTTTGCAGAGTCATCAAGTCAACAACCACGGAGAATGAGTGGAGAATTTGGTCACGGGAGTAGCAGGGCAACTTTTTCTCTTCTTCTTCTTTAGACAAGAATACAGCCTTGAGGGTGAGAACACTGAAGGCAGGGAAAGACCACTTGTCCACCACCTGTTGCTGCCAACTTATCTAGGTCAAAGTTGAGCAAGTTGCGGCCGCCGCTGCTGACAAATTACTTTTCTCTTGGGCGAAAGTGATGAGCAGGAGCAGCAACAGCAGGTGAAAGTTCATTTTTTTCGTTAAACGATGAAAAGTGTGTCCCGTAAAGTGCTCGCTTGCCTTTTTTATTGTCCGTCTGTGTGAGTGTTTGTGTTTGGCTTTCCCAGGAAGCATTTGCTTGACTGCAAAATTGCGGTTATTTGCTTCTTTATTATTTGCGGTGTCTCCCCACCATTCACTGCTGCTAGCCAGACATTAGTACCACACCACTAAACAAAGTACTGTTCAGGCCAAAGCAAATAGAAGGAGGAAATGCCGAAAAAGTTGTGCTTTAATTTTTCCGTTTCATTAAACAGTTTGTACAGACCATTCGTATCAGTGGCCGTCGAATATTGTTTAGATCAAAATTAGGGGAAAGGGAAGGTTGGCCTGTGCACTGCTGAATAGTTTGCGGTCTCATGATTGTCTGATTGATTTTTAGTTTCTCAAACTATCGTCTAAATGCCATCTGTTCTCAGAGAAAGTAACTAATAAAATAGTTCTTATAAAATAAAAAACTGAAAAATTCGTTATGAAGTGTCCATTTGCTCATTATCATACTCAGCAAAACGTCGTTTTTTACTAAACATTTCTGCAACTGCTGAACCAGCTTCAGCCGAGTCAACTAGATTGATGCTCTTTAGTTTAGTGAAGAAGCTCCTCAAAGATTGCTCTACTATTCTGCAATTTAGATTGTCTGCTGGGGACGGTGTTTTGACGGTAAAGTTCTCAATGTTTGGAAAGTAATCTACAAGTTCGCTGAAAAATTGAGCGCATTTTTCAGTGGGCACTTTGCAGTTGACCAAAGTTAAAGTACGCAGAGAGTGTAAGGGGCTGGGAGTTAATCGGTGTGATTGGTTGAAATGATGATGAAGAGGCAAGA